CTCAGTTTTTAATAACAATTAATTTCTTTTATTATTTTTTCAGCACTCCTATAACAGCGCCAACAACACCTCCAGAGGAATGACGCCAATTTTGAATCACCCTGTAGATAATATAAGTAAATTTACGCATTTAGATTAAAATATTTAATTAATTAATCATTGTTCACAATGCCCATGGCTCACTTTCATACAATTAAAAAGCGATGTTGAGCTTTTCAACATAAATTGTGCAGAATTTTTGGAGCAACTAAACGTTATTCTTAGGCTAAAGTAACTCCGTAAATTTTTAAGAGTGGCTGACAGCGTTACTCATAAAAAAATGTTGATGGCCCTTATTTTAGATGTTAAAATTGCAAGCTCGGGTTTAATCCGCTTTAATAAATGAGTTATAACTCATTAAATCAGAGAGCGGCAACAACTTAAAAGCGCAACACAGTGTTATCCAGGCCTAGTTTGAACGGTTGAAATCCTCAAAACCGCAATAACTGTGTATTGTCTACCTTCTTGTTGATGGAATGTTGAGGAATTGATACCTCTTCAATGTGAAAAGTGCGCGGAATGCACGATCTTGTTTATTCTAAACAAATTGATTCATCTGAGGAACTGAAGGTGAAACTGTCTCAAAAAGTGAAAGTGACCAATACTCATCAACTGAATGCTGTGGGTTTTCTGAAGATAGTACATACTGATCAGCACCGATTAAGATTACATTCATGAAAGATTTGGTTGATAGAAACTAGCACCAGTTCCAGACATGGAAAACCATTGAACGGTTTCGCGAAAATTTTCAAAGAAGAAACAAATTTTATTTTGAGGTGCAATCAAAAACAATGCAGCTCAATTTCTGATTTATTTTTTGGTAATTACCTCTCTAAGACAGCTAAATAAAGACATCTCTAAAGCTATCAGAAAAGACATTAGAACATATAACATCACAGGTAGAAAAAACGATTGAAGAAAATAAAAGCATAAAGATACTCCGACGCAGACTAAATTTGGGCAAAAGAAACATCTGGAAGTTAGCAGATGAACATGGAAACATTGTTACGAGCAGGGAGGAATTGCTTATAGTAGTGACGAATTTCTATTCAGAGCTATATTCAAACCAAGCTGGACCACTAAATCAACAGCAAATACCAAAAGTTCAGAACGTGGGATCGGAAGATATCCCAGAGATAACTATTGATGAGATTAAGTCAGCTATCAAAAATATGAAGAATAACAAATCGCCTGGCGATGATGACATAACAATTGAATATATCAAGGAAGGAGGATGAATTTTGCTATATGTAATCCAAAAACTATTCAATGCCTGCCTACTAAAGGGTACAACACCTTCTCAATGCTTCTTAATTATGCACAAGAAAGGTGATGTCACAGATCTGAGAAATTATCGACCAATAAACCTACTGTCCCACGTAGCCAGCTACCAACCCTGTGAACAGGCAGGCTTTCGTGCTGGCTATAGTACTAACGATCCCCTACAAGTTATAAAATCTCTAATAAAAAAATGTGTCGAATACAACAAACCACTAGTGTTGATCTTTGTAGACTATGAAAAAGCGTTCGATACTGTAGACCAGCATGAGATGCTCCTAGCCCTAGCAGATTACCGTATCGACTACCGCTATATAGCACTCATAAAGAACATCTATGACACTGCCACGGCTCATGTTAGACTTCATGCCGATACTGACAAATTTAATATAAATCGTGGAATTCGTCAGGGCGATACTATCTCCCCTAGACTGTTTAATACATTACTTCAATACATGTGTAAAAGAATAGATTGGGATGATATGGGTATTAGTGTCAACGGTAAAAACCTCAACCACCTCAGGTTCGCCGATGATATAGTTTTAATCTCAGACCGTATTGACAATGCCAGAGCATCTCTTGACAAACTCCACCCGGCATCCGGACAAGTTGGGCTAAAAATCAACATATCAAAAACTCAATTTATGACAAATCTAGTAGTCTCCACCAATATACCCTTAGGTGATACTGAAGTACAACAAGTCACATCATATAAATTCTTGGGCCACGAAATGCGAATAGGCCGGGATAATCAGACCTCTGAAATCTTTAGGAGAATAGGTTTGACATGTGCAGCATTTGGCTACCTCAGAGAATCATTCAAGTCTGAACTCCCCATATGTTAAAAGCGCAAACTTTTTAACCAATGTGTCTTGTTATTGATGACGTATGGAGCCGAAACCGTAACACTAACTAAGAAATCGATTACTAAAATAAGAACAACACGAGTAGCAATGGAAAGATCGATGTTGGGGGTATCACTTAGGGAAAAAATACATAACAGAGATATACGGCGCAGGACAGGAGTTACGGATGCAGTAAAGAAAATATCCTCTTTAAAATGGAACTGGGCAGGTCACGTTGCGAGAACTAGAGACGATCGATGGACTAGAAAAATTATCGAATGGAGACCACGATGTAAGGCCTATCGAAGTAGAGGACGACCCCCGACGAGATGGACAGACGACTTAAGGAGAATCCGAACGAACTGGATGCAAGTTGCGCAGAATAGTCATGAGTGGCACAGTATGCGGGAGGCCTATGTTGAACAGTGGACGCTATAGTGGGCTAATATGATGATGATGATGAATTATCTCAATTTTTGGAAAAGCTATATTGTGTACTATTTTTTCTATGTTCACTACAAGCCCCCACACCACCCCCTAAAGAGGAATGACGCTAATTTTCAATTACGTTGAACGCTAATGTTTCAAACTGTTCTTATTGTACGAACTCATAATTTTTCTATGCAACTTTAGTTCATGCAAGTCGTGTGCTTTTAATATCAAAGTGCATATTTATTCAATAGCCAATAAAATAATTTTTGTTTTTGTAAGTTTTTTTGTAGTCATTAATTTCAATTTTGTGCTTTATTTTAATAGGTAATATATTAAATTAGCAAAGCATATTAAAATTAAATATACTTTCAGTCAAGTCAAAGTCACAACCTTCAGATCTAATTCAAGAATGCTGTGCATGCATATTTGTTAACCAATAAACAAATTCATTAATATTTAAATACACGACTTTTTGAATGATAGTTGACGAATGCAACGTCTTTTCGGGAACAAATAATGAATCCTACTTTTCATCATATCCATCTCTTGTCAGCCCGGCGATTGTAATAACGTGACAAACCGGAATAAGTTATCTGGCCAAATTCTGTTTCGTTGGGGGCTTTAATATTATCCGCGATTTGTTTTTCAAATAACCGGCTGGAGAACATTACTTAGGCACACGTCGTCAGCATACAAATAAACAAGTTAGGTACTAACTTTGGTAATTAACACTTTCTTACTTCTGGAGCCTTTGGTGTTCATTAATTAAGTTTTAGATTTATGATTTGTAAATTACACTTTCAAAGCTGTACTGAAGCCCGTGCGTAATAATTGGGAATAATGTATGAAAAACATTTATTCAGGTTAGACTTTAATTTTTCCTCAAAATGCGCTGAATACTGTAAAAAGAAAAAATAAGTTGATCGATTTTAACTTGGACACTAATGCTTTTGCTTTCTTTGTATTCGTGTTATGAAATTAAATAGATGACAATACAATTATACTTTAAGAACAGCAAAAAATGTATGATTGTCTTCAATCTTTCGATCAACGCTTCCCATTACCCATTTACCCATTATACATATTTATTATTATGCCATCTATGTATACAGGGTGATTCAAAATTGGCGTCATTCCTCTGAAGGTGTTGTCTGGCGCTGTTATTGGAGTACAGAAAAAATAGTAAAATAAATTAACTGTTATTAAAAACTGAGAAATTTGCAAAAAACTATATCAGAAATACGGCAGCAATGTTTTTCAAGGTAATCTGCCTAATTAACATTGCGCAAATACCTGTTGCTTTCTAATTATTTAAAATTCCGGTAACCATGAAATTATACAGACTGACAATAAGATAGACAAGGATAAACGCTAAATTCAACAAGATTTGTTGACGAAATGTCAACCTGTTCTCATAACCTCGAATTCTGCGGGGTTTGGTGTCTACAAAATTTGTAATTTAATAATCCATACAACACTAAACATTTGAATGGTTAACTCCAAGCAAGCTAGTGCCTGTGTAATTTCCTTTTCAGTTAATTAACTCCTGCTCCATACATGTGTGCGCTCCTTGTACTGCGTGTAACGTACAAACGTGGTAGGAATCTAGCCCTTTCTCGGTATTTATTTGGTGCTTGGGAAAGTGTCAGTTATTGTGCTCTGAGTGCCCCTGGAAGGCCCTGATTCGATTATGTCCAATACTTGTTCCTCTGTGCCTGGAACCCGAACATCAATTGTCGTCTACTATCTTCCTGGAACCACTCTCCTCGCCCTTTGTTGGCGTGAGTTCTTTCAGCTTCTGCCATGTTACTGTAGCATTTCGCCTGAACTAATCGCATATCCGCAAATTCGTGAAAGGAAATTCAAAGTAAGTCACAGTTTGACAAATTATTGTTATGATTGACAAGGGCTATCCACGTGTAACTACCTGTTAATGACAAAAAACATAATTGCCGCTGTGCCTTTTCATAAAAAAATTGTAGAAGAGAACTTTTTTGATATCAAAAATTTTTGTAATTTGATGTAGAGATCGTAATTTTTCCTTTTGAATGCCATATGAAGTATTCAAATATGCTACCAATTAAACACGGAACAATTTCAAAATAATGCTTAATAACAAAGTTGAAATTCGATCTTCAACTGTTAAAACCTTCTAGAAATTTTCTAAAAAAAAATTTTCAATATTTTTCTCGTGCTCTCCAAGTGAGCCTCTATCACCCCTTAGAAGGAATGACGCCAATTTTGAATCACCGTGTACATCTTACAACAGATTTCATTAAGCTTAAAACGAAAATAAACATCGACTGCATACATAGCTTCGGCTTGTCCAGGTTGCATTAAAGTATTATAAATTATTGTTCCCCGCTGTAATTTAATCGTTAATTTTAGTAATATTTCCTTTTTCAGATGATTAAATTTGCTCATCTGCCGGTTTGCACCTGGCTACGATACACTGCAGGATAACAGGGAACATATTGAGTAAGTTGAAGTCAAATGCTAAGTAATGTTAGTGATATACCAACATAATATTTCAGTTATTTTTCTTCATTAAACGCCTGGGACTTGTATTTGGGCAAGTATTACATAGAGCAGAGGTTCTCAAATTTTTTGGTGACGGACCCCTTTTAAAGAACCACATTTTTAACGGAGCCCTAAACCCTAACTAAAGGAAAAGCAAAACGAGTTATATGTGTATTGTTTATAAATAAGCATACAAAAAAAAAGGTTTTTTGGAATGAAATGAAAATTGGTAGGCAAACATAATCGGCTGCTGCAACTCTAAATATAGTTTTTTCAAAATGGCTACGCTTCCGGAAACATCGAAAATCGACGATATCTTGGCTTTTTTAACTGGAAAGCCCCTATTTTGATTTTATATTTGTATTCAGCAATAAATTTTGAATTTAAAACGTCCATTTGTCAACACTTATCTGTCATAGTTTTTGACATATGTCACATTTATTACAAAAAAACTGGGATGCAGAGGTTTATTTAAAAAATCATAACCCCTGAACCATTCCTATTTTTTGATTCAATTTTCAAATGTTGGGCCGACATGTTTTGCATTGATTCTGACACTTTCGTTATTCGTGCGTCTGTTGCGGTGTTTCAAAGTTAACAATAAAAAAATGCCTGTATTACGATTTCTGATAAAAAATTCAAATTTACGGATTACTTCTATAGCTGACCACTTGATAAGAAGACAGTAATATTTCTACCAAAAAATGCCAATAACACATAAACATCTTTAGATGAACGTACACAATGTTAATAAAGGTGGACTTAAAATTCAATTTTACATTTATTTTTGGAGTCTGAAATAGTAGTTGCCATTTAAAAAATTAAAGTTTTTGTCTTTTATTGTCAACTTTGGAAAATCGGAACAGAAGCATGAAACATAACAAAAGTGTCAGAATCGATTCAGAATATGTGCCAAATCTTTGGGAATTGAATTAAATAAGGCCGATTTATTTATTTGCAATGGTTCAGGAAATAGAATTTGTTAATGAACCTCTGCTACCCTGTTTTGTACAAAAAATGGCATAAATCAAAAACTGTGACAGATACGTATTGACGAGTGGATATTTTGAACTCACAATTTAAAGCTGAATCTAAATATGATATCAAAATGAGAACTTTCGATTTAAGATGGCGTCGATTGCCGGTAATTCCGGAAGTGTCGTCATTTTGAAAATACTCTATTTAGACTTGCAGCAACCGATTATGGTGCCAACCAAATTCTATATTAATCAGATTTCGGGAAACAAAAATGTTTCTAACAAACGGACTATGGGAATCACCCTGTATTATTATGTACCCGTAAAATCTATAAGAAGGTCCTTTTTCGGTAGTTTGTTTTTATCTTAAGCAACTTTATTCTTATAAATTCCTCTTTAATACATGTATTAATTTTATTGTCGGCGGAGCTCTACCGTAGGCTTTGCGTTGCACCGGGGCTCCGCGGAGCACACTTTGAGTGACGCTGACGTAGAGGATATGTTAAAATGCTGGAAATCAATTTCCGCAATTCTCGATTCCACATTTCTTTACATATGTTTGTTTGAACAGGGTGTCCCGTAAGCACATGATCCAACGGGTACTGCGACAGTCTTTCGAAAAAAATTGTGGCTCTACTGCTATTGATGGTCAAAGTTCTTCAAAAGAAAATATGTTTTTTGATAAATCCATATTGAATCGATTGATTTTAATGAAACTTGAGTTGATGCACTAATCTTCTTTTGATATTTTCTTCCTCTGTAAAATTTTGCAGCATTCATACTTTATGTTCTGCTGCAATCATCGGTTTGACAACAATCTCGTGGATTTTCGGAAGCTGAAAATATATATTATATTTTTGTCGATTTAATATTAATATGATTTTCGTTTCAAACTCGAATCAACAGAGGCTCTCGTTGCTCATGGTCTTTAGGCTTTCGCTCTTCAGCCAATTCAACTTTGCACGCACGAAATGTCACCTTGTTTGTTTAAAGTCGACGCATCGTGAACTCAATGACAAGTGGATGTGGATCGACTTTTCTCAACATTTGAAAGCACTGCAGCGATATTTTCAGTCGAGCGACCAATATGCGCGCGTGTTTCTGTTTTCCCGTCCTTAGCAGACAGTTTGCTTAATTTCTTTCAGTAATATTCTCACAGTGGCGTCATTTGGATGATTCTGATGACTCATCATTGCAGGCATTTTGCGACCTGTAGCTGCAAAACTTTCACCACTTTGAAAATACTTTTTTACTATCAGAATTCGTGGTTTCGTATTGTTCCATTTTACTTAACCTCCTGATGTCTACTAACAAACGACCCTTTTTTAAATTTTTAAAGATTCATATCATGTCACTCAAATGGACGCGCAATTTAAAACCGACGTTCTGACTGACTGAAGCACTTGCAACAATAACTTTTTCTTGTTACAAGTTCATGATAATAATTCGTAGAACAGTATGGGTACGATAATTTGAAATGATAACTCCTTTTATTGATTGGTCTACCATAACCACGTAATTTTTTCTAGTTTTTCACAAAAAAACACTGCCAAATAAACCAGTACTTTGCACAATGGCTGCCTTGGGTTGATATTTCAGCCCACATTATATAAAAACAAGGTCAAGCATAAGCTGTGTTATTTTTAGACTTGGACAGCAGAATTTCTGATTTGTGTTCATTTCGACAGTAAATTTGTTAATGGTAGTGAGTTTACAAGCAATCGGGGTTATTGTTAATTAAAAATAATATCGTGAGTCGTGAAAAAGATGGCTGACGTGATATCAGACAAAAATTTAGCTCCTAATAAGAACGAGAAAAAGGTGGTAAACGGGTGATATCATTGTAAGAAAAGTGTTGTCGAAGTAGTGAAATGTAAAAAGTGCGTTAATTGCTTCCACCCGTCCTGTTTAGTTCAGTCTTCAAAGTAGAAAAACCCTGAATGTATTCATGAAGCCGACAAGGAAAAAAGAAACGTACGAATGTCAACAAGGAAGAAGACGATATGGAAATAGGGCTTCTGAGAATGCTAGTGAAAGAACTTCAGAGTAAGAATCAGATTTTAGAAGAAAACAGCAAGTTATAAAAAGAAAAAGTAATTTTTCTAGAACAAAAAATAAAAAGTAACAAAAATAAAGAATTATAAAGAAACCGAGCAACAAGAGTACCAGCAAAGTAATTGTCAAACCCGCGCCGCCTAAGGTGCACAGTACCGAAATCACGAATCCTGGAGATGGAAACACAAACAAGGACTGTTTTCAACACAAAGGGCCCGGTGCCTCTCAGGGGACAGAGTGAAAATATTTCCAACCTGAAAACAGTAACTAGAATGGCATTCTTGTTCCTGTCCGGTCTAGCACCTGAAGTGACCTGTGATAATGTTTTGGATTTTCTCAAAGAGAATAACCTACCTGAAGACTGCCGATGTGAGAAAATGAAAACAAAAAACATGAATTACTGCAGCTCTTTCCGACTAGCAGTGCCACTGGAGGATGTACATAAATATTTGACATCTAGCTTATGGCCAAGAGGATCAGTAATAAACCATTTTCGGAATCTACAGAACCAAAGCATGGTGACGGCAATCCATTACAAAAAAAACATAAGAATCCTCAACATTAATGTACGTTCATTGAGAAGAGAAGAGAGGAGATAAAAATCTGTATTTTATTATTAGTATGTATACCTACTTTGTGTCTTGTTGACGTGTGTAGACATTTTTTATGTATGAACGTGATAATAAATTATTATGATTATGATTAAAATAATATCGTTAAGCCCTGATCTCTGTCAACAAATTTTCTGCGAGAATAATTTTATTATAGTATAATAATTGATAAAAATTAGAGGTGTGACAAACGATTATTTTCCTGTAACAGTTTTCGTTACAACGTTCCAGTTTCACCTTGGTAATAGGTTTCAAAATGCGGATTCAAATAGAACATGTTTGTTTACCAATTTTTCATTAAAAATGCAGAATGATGATGATAGTAGAAATAGTGATGTGATATAATGATTTCCTTTATTAAAAACATAATTCTTAACATTGGTAAATTCTAAATAAAATATTTAAGTGAAAAACAAAACATGGGTCAGCAGTAACTACTTAAAGAACAAAAAAAAACTGATAAGAAACTAGAGTGATTAAATAAAATATACATTTTATATGCAAAAATGTTTAAGAAAATTTAAATTTTTGCAGACGCTTTTTACTGATTCTAGTTCTTCGCTCGTTTATGATAGCACCCTCTGGACGAAGTATTACTCGAGTTAATTTTGGTACCACCAAAAAATAGTTTTAAAAAAACATGTCGACCTTACAACGTTTATTACTATTCAAATAACTTTCATTTCATCTCTGACTGAATTTATATTTAAAAATGGTCAACTTGCTTAAATGCAGGTGCACATTCTGCTTAAAATGTTTGTTATTTTAAATTTAAAGTGTGATGGAATTTATGCCTTAGACTCTTAGTCTGCTCATAGCTCATATGCAAGTGTACATTCTGCTTATTTTGCTGGTAATGGGCATATAGCTCCTGAGCTAAGTTTCTTGAGAGAAATCCCTTTTTTTAAGATTTATTACAGAATGTCAGAAAACTAAATACTTATAGACTAAAATTGCTGAATTATACCATCGCACCAATTAAACAAATTTTCGCTG